AAAAAGCCCAGAAGGTCTGCATGCAGCTCTGGAGCTCTTGTGCTCCTACCAACTGCTCTGGGCAGACCAAACTGCCCAGGTACTTCAGAAGACTCTGGGCCTTGTCCCGGTGACTTCGAAGCACTGACACCGTTTAAGAGGTCACTGTCTCTTGAGCAGCTCTCCCAGGCCTGTCCCTTCTTTTCCCCCAGAGACAGCTGGGATCTCCTTTCTGGCACCATGGGATTGTTGCCTCTTGCCCTTTTGCACTGCACCTCTCAGGAGCGTTTGGCTTCATCCTTTCCAGCACCTCCTGGAGGTGGTGGAGGCAGCAGTTGCATCCCCTCCTCTCCAACTTACCCGTCTCCACCAGGTTCCACAAGCCCAGTGCCCTCACCCCTGATGTCAGCTGCTCCTGCCCTTCTGTTCTCTTCTGTTCTGCCTCATCCTCTGCCAGTCCCTCTCTCCAGGAGAGTTCACCACTCCCTCTCTTGTCCCTGGGGACACAGAGTGGGGCACAGCCATCCAGATGTGGCCTCTGCAGTGCCATGGAAAGGGCACCATTCCTGAGGGCATCAGATCCCAGGGTTATGGGGTGAGCTCTGGAGAGGGACAGTAAGGAGCTGTCAGGATCAGGAGTGAAGGCTCCACACAGGACCTACAGTGCAAGGGACTCTGTTGGGACAGACTTTCTCTCCTCTTTCCAGCCTTTCTGACCAGAAGGGCTTAGTACTCCCTGCTCTGGAAGGGGAATGCAGAGCAAGGGGCATTCCCTGCACACAGCCCTGTGCTCTCCATGGGGCCATGGCATGTGCTCAGCAGTGCAGGCAGCCTCAGTGGCATCTCCTGGTGGCCCAGCTGGGAGGCTCAGCTGTAGAAACCATTCCCACCTCCTGGTAGCACACAGGGGCTTCCATGCAGCCCTGGAAGAGCTGCCCAAGAGACAGGGACCTCTCTGACACTGGCAGTGTTCAGAGGACGATGGGACAAGGCCCAGAGCTTCAGGAGGTGAGTGGGAAGTTTGTCCTGCTCTGAGCAGGTCCAGAGCACTTCCAGTGGTCCCTCCTGACCTCCACTGTTCTGGGATTCCCTGCACCTCCTGGGCCCTTGGAGCAGCCACCAAAAGACAATGTCATGGAAAGCAGCAGCAGCAGCAGCACAGGATTGCAAAGACATTCCAGGTGTTTTGGGAATTGTCCACAAAGGTGTGGAAATGCCTTTGACGAAAACAGAAATTGTGGAGGCATGAGGCTCCGTGCTCTGCTGTCCCTGGAATTCCCGAGTCTGGGGCACTGTGTCCACTGAAGTCCACACTGGGTGACTCAGGTTTGCCTGGAGCTCTGGGATTTTCCCAACTCTTCGAGATGGCGATGACTCCCAGGTTCCCTGGGAGACAGATCCAATGCCCCTTTGAAATGCGAAATGCATGGAATGGGGAAAAGCCCTCCCTGATCCAGGACAGAGAACCAAGAGCTTTTGGCTCCCTGCCCTCAGCCTCTTCCCCAAAGCAGGCCACGCAGGTCTCTGGCCTCTGGGTGAACACGCTGAGGAAAACAGGTCAGTTGTGGTGTGGGGTTTTTTTGGGAGTGAATGAGAGGTGGGACATTCCTCTGTGTGCTCTGGAAATCCCAGTCCCCATGGGCAAGAAGGCCCATGTGCAAGGGGAGGCAGGAGGGCAGCCTGCAAAAATCAAGACCACTTAGCTGCTCAAAAAGGCCAAAATGCTTAGGCAGTGGAGGCAGAAATACACATCTGGGGATAACTGGGGATTCTCCCTCTCTACTCTGCTCTCCTGAGACCATACCTGGGCTCCTGTGTGTGGCCCTAGGACCCCCAGCAGAAGAAACACATGGACCTGATGGAGTGGGTCCAGAGGAGGCCTCAGAGCTGATCAGGCAAGTGGAGCACTTTCCCTGTGAGGACAGGCTGAGAGGGTTGGGGTTGTGTAGCTGAGAGAAGAGAAGAGAAGGCTCCCAGCAGACATTCAGTAAAGCTACAGAGGAACATTTGGTCAGGGTTTGTAGTGATGGGACAAGGGGCAATGGTTTTAAACTGCAAGTGGGTAAATGTAGATTAGAGATGAGAAACAAATTGTTTCCGCTGAGTGTGTTGAGGCACTGGAACAGGTCTTGCACAGAAGTTTGGGATAACATTTCAGGGGGCTGGAACTCGATGATCTTCAAAGTCCTGGTCATCTCTAAATAATTCCTAGATTGAAGAGACAAATCTGTGTTGTATGAAGTGGGAGCACAACATTTCAGATGAAAGAGGAAAGGACTTAATCAGCAAAGAAGCCTTACAAGTGATGACTACCAGGTGTTTTGATGTTTCATGGGCAAGGAATGTTTGTGGCCCCACAGGGCTCAGGACACAGCATAAAAGGCTGTGCTGCTGCAGGCTCTGCATCCTCCTCTCCTGCCTCCCTTTCCTTGAGGAACGAGGTAAGCCTGAGTCTGCTCCATCTCTCTCTGTGGGCTGAAGGGCTGTCATGGTCACTCCTCAGGTTGATCCTTGGGTGCCTCAGCTTGGCCCTGACACAGAGTTGTTGAAGGGCTGTCACCCTATTCATGGTGGTGGCTGGGGAGAGCTGGGAATTTGGGAATTAAGCGTTTAGTTCCAGCAAAAAGGGATCAAGGGGTCAGAGCTGCAGGGGGATCTGCCCAACAGAATTTGCACTTGCAGTGCTGGAATGAAATGGCCCAGTGCATCCCCTGACATCTCTAACACAGCCAAGTCTGTTCTGGAGATGGACTGTGATCAATCTTTCCACAGATGCCTTAAACCCACTGTCCTAGGTCCTATTCATAAACCTGGGCAGCCTTCTTGTGCTTTTCCACTCATAGGCCATGATGAGGGTTGTGGGAGTGTTAGGCACAGTGTGCTTTTAAAGCAAATGGTGTCTATGTAGATTACTGTAGGAAAGAGAGACAGACTGATCCTGAGGTTGTTGCTCCCTGCTCTGTGTTCCAGCTCTGCCTCCTTCACCCAGAGATGTCTTGCTGCAGACCCTGTCCCCCACGCCCCTGCGGCCCCTGTGGCCCAACCCCACTCGCCAGCAGCTGCACTGAGCCCTGTTACGCCCGCTGCGCTGACTCCACCGTCTACATCGAGGCCACCCCGGTGGTGGTGACCATGCCGGGCCCCATCCTCACCTCCTTCCCTCAGAACACAGCNGAATGAGAGGTGGGACATTCCTCTGTGTGCTCTGGAAATCCCAGTCCCCACGGGCAAGAAGGCCCATGTGCAAGGGGAGGCAGGAGGGCAGCCTGCAGAAATCAAGACCACTTAGCTGCTTGAAAAGGCCAAAGTGTTTAGGCAGTGGAGGCAGAAATACACATCTGGGGATGACTATGGCTTGGGAGTGCAAGGGGGGGATTAGGAAAGTGAAGGCAGAGCTGGAGCTGAACTAAACTATGGACATGAAAAATCACAAGAAGGCTTTCTTCAGGTGCAGAGTACAACAAAGAAAGATGCAAGAAACTCTAACTCCACATGAGTTAAACAGGAGACCTGGTGACAACCAATATGGAGAAGGAGGAGATACTCAACAGACTTTTGCTTAGGTATTCAGTGGCAGGTGCTCCAGCCATGCCAGTGATTGACAGAATCCAAGGGCAGGGAGTGGCAGAAGGAAATGCAACCCACTGTAGAAAACAATCAGTTTCAAGACCATCGAAGGAACCTGCATGTGCACAAGTCCGAGGGGCCTGATGAGATGCATGTGAGGGTCCTGAAGGGACTGGCAGAAGAAGTTGCTAAAGCACTTTATATTTGAAAAGTCTCAGCACTGGAGAATTGAGAAGTGGAGGCCAGGCAGTCTCACCTCTGTGCCTTGGCAAGGTCATGGAGCAGCTCCTCCTGGAAGCTGTGCTGTGACACCGAGAAAAGAAGGAGCTGATTGGTGCCAGCCAACAGGGCTTCAGTAAGGGCAGTCATTCCTGAGAAGAGTAGTGTCCTTCACCTGATATGGGTTTAATGAATTTTTGTCATTGGCTTATATCACTGGGGGATGAGGGAAGAGCGACTGATGTGCAAAACATGGAAGAGGACCCTGCACAACACCCTTGTCTCTAAACTGTAGAGACATGGCTTATCTGGCTGGGACCCTCAGGGACTAAGGAATTGGGTTAATGGAATTGGGTTGTGATCAATGGCTCAATGTCCAAGTAGAGATGAGTGACAAGAGTTGTTCCTCAGGGATTGGTTTGGAGACCAGGATTATTTAAGTCCTTTGTCAGGGACGTGGAGAGTGGGATTGAGTGTATCCTCATCACGTTTGTAGATGACATTGAGCTGAGTGGTGTGGGTGATACTCTAGAGGCAGGGATGGCATCCAGAGGGATCTGGAGAGGCTGGAGAGGTGGGTCCGTGTAAACCTCATGAAGTTCCAAAAGGACAAGTGCCCTGGTCAGGGCAATCCCAAAGATGGAGACAGGCTGGGCCAGGAGTGGATTGACAGGAGCCCTTGAGAGAACAGCTTGCAGGCTCTGGCTGTTGAGGTAGTGAACGTGTGCTGACAGCCCAGAAGCCAATAGTATCCTGGGCTGCATGCAGAGCTGTGGGGCAAGGGAGGGGATCCTCCCTCTCTACTCTGCTGTCCTGAGACCATACCTGGGCTCCTGTGTGCGGCCCTAGGACCCCCAGCAGAAGAAACACACGGACCTGATGGAGTGGGTCCAGAGGAGGCCTCAGAGCTGATCAGGCAAGTGGAGCACTTTCCCTGTGAGGACAGGCTGAGAGGGTTGGGGTTGTGTAGCTGAGAGAAGAGAAGAGAAGGCTCCCAGCAGACATTCAGTAAAGCTGCAGAGGAACATCTGGTCAGGGTTTGTAGTGATGGGACAAGGGGTAATGGTTCTAAACTGCGAGAGGGTAAATGTAAATTAGAGATGAGAAACAAATTGTTTCTGCTGAGCGTGTTGAGACACTGGAACAGGTCTTCCACAGAATTTCGGGATAACATGTCAGGGGGCTGGAACTTGATGATCTTCAAAGTCCTGGTCATCTCTGAATAATTCCTAGATTGAAAAGACAAATCTATGTTGTATGAAGTGGGAGCACAACATTTCAGATGAAAGAGGAAAGGACTTAATCAGCAAAGAAGCCTTACAAGTGACGACTACCAGGTGTTTAGATGTTTCATGGGCAAGGAATGTTTGTGGCCCCACAGAGCTCAGGACACAGCATAAAAGGCTGTGCTGCTGCAGGTTCTGCATCCTCCTCTCTTGCCTCCCTTTCCTTGAGGAACAAGGTAAGCCTGAGTCCTCTCCATCTCTCTCTGTGGGCTGAAGGGCTGTCATGGTCACTCCTCAGGTTGATCCCTGGGTGCCTCAGCTTGGCCCTGACACAGAGTTGTTGAAGGGCTGTCACCCTTTTCATGGTGGTGGCTGGGGAGAGTTGAGAATTGGGGATTTAGTTCCAGCAAAAGTGGATCAAGGGGTGAGAGCTGCAGGGGGATCTCTATAGCAGAATTGCACTTGCAGTGCTGGAATGAAATGGCCCAGTGCATCCCCTGTCATCTCTAAGACAGCCATGTCTTTTCAGGAGATGGACTGTGATCAGTCTTTCCACAGATGCCTTAAACCCTCTCTGTTGGGCCCTATTCCTAAAGTGGGACATCCTTCCTGTGCTTTTCCACTCATAGGCCATGATGAGGGTTGGGGGAGTTATAGGCACAGAGTGTGCTTTTAGAGCAAATTTAATTCCTACAGATCACTGTAGGAAAGAGAGACAGGTGGATACTAAGGTTTTTTCTCCCTGCTCTGTGTTCCAGCTCTGCCTCCTTCACCCAGAGATGTCTTGCTGCAGACCCTGTCCCCAAAGCCCCTGTGGCCCCTGTGGCCCAACCCCACTCGCCAGCAGCTGCACTGAGCCCTGTTACGCCCGCTGCGCTGACTCCACCGTCTACATCGAGGCCACCCCGGTGGTGGTGACCATGCCGGGCCCCATCCTCACCTCCTTCCCTCAGAACACAGCCGTGGGATCCTCTCTGTCAGCTGCTGTTGGCAGCTCCCTCAGCTCCTCGGGGGTTCCCATCTCTTCTGGGGGCTCCCTTGGTCTGGGGGGGTCCGGCCTGTGTCTGCCTATCCCCCGCTGCAGCATGAACTGCTGAGGATGGCACAGCATCCCCTTGCTCCTTGGCAAATGGGCTCATCTCTGTCCCTCCCTGACCCCTGCAAATGCCTTTCTTGGTCTCTGCTCTGTGCCACTGCATTTGCTCCTTCTCATTAAAGCCTTTTGTGCAGCATCATTGGAGAGTCGTGGTCGTTTGTTCTCCTCCTCCCTCAGGTTACCAGCTGGTCTACCAGGATGAGCACTGGCTGCTGTCCTGAGCTTACCATCAGGTGCAGAAAGAGCTCCCTGAGCTTAGAGCAGTGCATTTCTCTACAAATGTGAGCTGAACTTGGACGAGTGTGTGAGTGGGGGCACCCCAGGGTATCACCCCAGGCTGCCTTGTCAGAGATGCTCTTTCAGGTATCCCAACCTGATGGTTCTCAAGCTCCCAGAGACATCCCACTCAGAGGGAGGTGCTGGCACAGCCTACAGCAGTCCAGGAGACCTCAAGGGATGGCTCTTTAGAGGGTGCCAAGATGCTTTCCTTTAGTCAGCAGGAGGTTCCATCCTGCCTGCAACCCAAGTCGATAACTCCTAGCAACAATGTCCAAGACATTTGAGAATTGTTTCCAAAACTGCAGCAATAGTGGTGGTCTTCCACTTGGGCTCCAGTTCAGGCAGGGAATGCTGGAAGGCTGTGAGGGGCTGACTGATGATCCTCTGTCCCCCAGCATGGTTGCAAACCCAGAGGTCGATGAATCGAAACCATCCTCTGCTAAGACCCTTTTGCACCGCTGCTGCCTCACCCCACAACTTTTCCCCTGCGCTGCTGCAGCTCTCATGGCACCCACGCCCATGGCCCTGCTCTGCCTTCTGCCCCTGCTCCCTCACACTGCCATCTGCTTTCTCCTCTGCTTTCTCAGGTGCCAGCACTCCCCACATGCCTCTCAGCAAGGCAAGGGTTGGCATGGAAAGGTGAGGTCACAAGAGGAGCCTGTCTAAAAGGAGACAGAGAGAGGGGTTCTACTAAAAAAAGTCCCAGAAAGCACCAGGGGTGTTGGCAGCAAATTCCTCTGGCTCTGCAAGCATGGGACATCCACAGCAACTGCTGGCAAAAGCAGGAGCCTCCAAGCACAAGGTGTCCATCCGGCAAGGGACGCATGGAATGATTGGGAAGTGCTCCTGTCTCAGCTTGGGATGGGCTCCTTGTAGGCTGAATCCAAGCTGACAGAGAACATGCTGCAGAAATCCTTCTAAAAGGCACAACTCTCCTGGGGCTGTTCTGAGACCTGGGTTGGCTCAGCTCCTGCTCTGGATAGCCTGTGGTGGGCTGGCCAGGAAATCCTCTGAGCTCAGCAGCTGCAGGATCTGCTCCAAGCTGTGTCTCTGTAGCTCCAGCCAGCCAGTTTTGGGCACAACTCTCCTACCAAGCTGTGAGGATGCTGCCCCCCACATAACCACCTGCTCATAGTGGAAATCTCTGATGCTCTGGTTCTTGTGTTTCCAGGCTGAGTCACAGCTGTGCAAAGAAAGGCCTTGCTGCTGTTTCCTAGCTGCCTGCTTTGACAAGGTCCAAACTGCTGTAAACCATGTGGCCTTGGCCTTGGGAAAGCACTCCAGCCAGACTGGCCCCTCTCCTCTTGGCCTCTGCCCCTCCTTAGCCACATATTCAGAGGTGTTCAGGAAGACCTGCCTGTGAGCATCTCCCAAAGCAATGATGCTCTATGGGTGGGCTGCAGGGAATGGCAGAGATCCTGGGCAGGATATAGGGGACAGAACCAGCAGGAATCTTCTGCACTTCCCACTCCTCCCCCTGCTCATGGGGTCCTCCAGGCAGCCAGCCACTCTGCAAGGCTGCTGATGGGCATGCATATGTCACACCTATAGACTGTTGGGGGTGGTGGGAGATTCAGTGCCACTGAACACAGGCTGCTGGGCAAGGCCTGTTGCTGGCCTGAGATGTGGTGACAACACCCGAGGTCAGTATCCATGCACTGAACAACTCTCTGGAGATGTGCATTCTGTCACATTACACCAAACACTGTCATGAAGGAAACCTGCCTCACCCAGATGGTGGAGTCCACCCACTTCACGTGGCAAGGGGAAACCTTCCTGTGTCCACTTATACTCGTGAGGCACATTCTTCCCCAGATGGTTAAGAAGAGGAAGGAAGCAAGGAAAAAAACCTACATTTTCCACTCTGTCTCTCAGACAAAGGCTTGTGAGCAGTGCTGGCCGGAGCAACAACTGTGCTGAGAAGCAGCACCTCAAGTAGGAGAGCTGATGCAGTGTGCTGACAACCTCTGGGCAGGCATATCTATCTGTTGGTGACTTTAGCCTATGGTGAAGCTTCTCAGAAGCAATGGGTTTTTGAAAGTGTCATGGCTTATAAAAAAAAAGGATGTTTTCACCTTTGAAAAACAGTTCAGCTGAAGGTGAGGTTTTTACACTAAAATGCCATCTGCCACTCACCTCACCCCATGCTTGTAGCCTGAATGATACACTTTAAATATGCACTGACAATGATACCTGTATGTGAGTGAGTATCATCTTCCTCAGTCATAGATACACTGTTTGGATGTGCTGTTTCCCAGGCTTGGTTATCCCTTCACTGGCTTAACTAAAACTGCCTCAGCTTGTTCTCTGCCCGAGCAACAGTCACCATGGCACAGGGCAGGTGGCAGGAGGAAGAGATCTCCCGTACTCCATCAGCCTGCCACCAAGTGACACTGTCTGCCTTTCCCCAGAGAGCACCTGCCATCCTCTTCTGCTCACCATGCACACTCGGTAGAAGACCAAGCAGGAGTCCATTCAAAAGCGGCTGGCCCGCAAATGAGACAAGGGCAGAGTGGAATGGCTGAGCAGGAGCCTGTGCATCAACCCGTAGAGAAAATCTCCAGCCCCCCGGCACACACTGGCCAGGGGCAGTTGCAATTTCAGGAGAAAGAAACACAAGGAGACTCGGGCTGTGATGAAGCATTGCTTTAATGCAAACAGAAAGGGCTTTGGGACAGGAGGGGGAAGAGTGCTGAGCACGAGAGGGAGAGGGCTCCACAGGACATCACCCACCCCTTGCAGCAATGGGATGCAGAGCACCTGCAAGGCGCTCCTTTCTCCCCATCACAGCTAGAGCTGGTGAGAATCGCCCCCCATCCACAGCAAGGGCAGGGGAAGTGCTTTGCCTTGGTCAGGGCTAAAGCTCCGGAGCCTGGGAGGGAGGAAGGGTGAGGGGCTAGCTGGGGATAACAAGGAAAGCATAGGAAGATTAAGAGCAAGAAGTGCACAATGTCAAGGGATGACACACGGCTCCTGTGCGTGGAGGGGAAGAGGCAGGAGCCCCACACACTGTGAAACCACAGGCATCTCCCCCATCCTGGATCCAGATCGTGTTTGTTCGTTCCTGGTCGTCCTTCCCAACGTGAGGGATCCACCGTCCCTACAAGCAGGGATTGCACAAACGCAGGGACCCACAGAGACCGCTCCCAAGGCCTGCAAATCTCCCAAATCCAAGGGAGCCCCCAGAAGAGATGGGAACCCCTGCAGAGCTGAGGTTGCTGCCAACAGCAGCTGACAGAGAGGATCCCACGGCTGTGCTCTGAGGGAAGGAGGTGAGGATGGGGCCCGGCATGGTCACCACCACCGGGGAGGGCTCGATGTACACGGTGGAGTCAGCGCAGCGCTGGACACAGGGCTCGTTGCAGCTGCTTGCAAGGGGAGCTGGGCCGCAGGGGCCACAGGGGCATGGGGGACAGGGTCTGTAGCAAGACATCTCTGGGTGAAGGAGGCAGAGCTGAAACACAGAGCAGGGCATGAGCACAACATGGAAGCTGAGGGGAGACAACAGATCAGAACATCAAGTGCCTGCGCAAAGAGCCCGGTGCGGTTCAGACTTACCTGGCTGACAGGGGAGATGGCAGTGAGGGCAGTGGATGGCAGCTGTGGAGACACAGGGACTTTTATACCCTGTCTCCAAAGCCTTGGGGGGCCCGAAGCATTCTTTTTGCATGAAGCATTCTCCTGACTTGCAGTATTTGCTTGCAACGTGCTCCTGGATGTTTACACATTTCCCCCTTTCATCAGAGAGGGTTTGCTCCCATTGAACACGTGGGCAAGAATAAAGGTGCCCTTTGAAGTTCATCAATCGTTATGCTGCTTCTTAAAGCCACGGGTCTTGTTGTCCATCTTGTCTAGGCTGCCCGCAGAAACACACAGTGGCATTGCTGGCCACGCACATTCCTGGGGCACGGTCTCCACCACCGCCCTCCCACACCACACACTGACCTCAGGCACTCAGGAGTTCAGCACCTGAAGACACCTCAATGTTGGTTCCGGCTCAGGGCCTTGGCCTGCCCAGCAGAGACTCATTGGCTTTGCAGTTGTCTTTAGACATTTGGGCAATGATCCACCAGAATCTTTTTTGACCCATCCTCTGCCCAGCTCTTGCACTCTTCTGCATCCAGTACAGGAACTGTTTCTTCTGATCCTTACACAACAGAAGCACCTGGGAGCTCTGGTTCCTAGCCTTCCCCATATCCCAGAGAGGCTGTTTGCCTCCAGGATGAGCATGAGGAGAAAAACAAAGCCATTTTGGCTTGGCTCAACCTCAGACAAGGAGTCATAAGGCCCTTCAAACATACCTTTCATAGACTTGTTTTTCAGTAAACAATAAACTCTCTCAGCTGAACTCATATGCCCAGAGGGAAGAAGAAAAACAATGGTTATATTGTCTAGGAATAACACCTTTCCCATCCAGGAGTGAAACAGTTGGACAGTCCTCATGAGAGTGAGCAGTTCAGCTCTTTGGACTGCCCTTTGATGTTTTGCTGATGTCCATATGACTTGGACAGTGGGTGAGCCACAAGGACTGATAACCACAGGCCACAGTGAAGGCATATGTCAACAAGTGGGGTGCTTCAGGTGCTGAACTCCTGAGTGCCTGAAGTCAGTGTGTGGTGTGGGAGGGCGGTGGTGGAGACCGTGCCCCAGGAATGTGCGTGGCCAGCAATGCCACTGTGTGTTTCTGCGGGCAGCCTAGACAAGATGGACAACAAGACCCGTGGCTTTAAGAAGCAGCATA